GGTAATGTCTCCCCACCAGAAGGTGCCTCAATTCAAATTATTTGGCAGCTCCCATTCTGATAATGTCTCCCCCAGACCAGATTAACACATAGGAGGTCGTCTCTATTAAGGAATTTATGAATGAACTTTAGTAGTAGAGTTTCATTCTATGTTCTCGAATTCAAAGCACCCAAGCCTCCTTCATTCTTGGATCTACAAACCATGGGTCAGGCTGCCTTTGCTAGCTTTTTATAGTTTAGATCAGCTCCTCGTCATAGGCAGTGTTTCCTATATTTTTCAATTTGATCAAGCACTGTGTTTTGAAGCTTTAAGGCACACAATACAAAAGTTGGCATAGCATTGATCAGAGAGTAGGTGAGTTGCAACCTTCCTGCCTGATTGAGAAAAGTTGATGTAGATATGAGTCTCCTCTTACATTTGTTTACCAGAGGGGAGAAATCAACTACCTTGGGCTTTATCAGGCCAAGGGAAAGCCCCAAGTTTGTAAAGGGAAGACAACCTTTCTACAAATTAAAGGTTCTTTGCTAAGTGGTTGAACTTTTATTTTGATAAATTAATTGGCACCATCATCGATTTGGAGTAATTAACTTTTAGTTCAGTAGAGGTTCCAAAAGACTAAAGAAGGCCTTTTAGGGTTATGAGTTGTCTTGCAGAGGCTTCCATGATGATCAAGGTGTCATCAACATATTGGACTATTGGATAATCAGTAGAGTGTTGCAAATCCAAGGGTAGGCTTAGGATTCCTCTTTCCTTAGACTTTGTTGATGATGGATTGGAGAATATCAGCTGCCAACACAAAAACAAGGGGAGAATGGGGGTCACCTTGCCTAAGTCCAATTTTGCAGTGAATATTTTCCCCTGGAACACCATTTAGTAGGACTGAAGAGGTGCCAGAGCTGAGAATAGTCTTCATCCAACTTATCTAGTTTTGGCCAAAACCCAGATTAACCATAATTTGAATGATTGCAGTATGCTCAATCTTGTCAAATGTCTTCTCAAAGTTCAACTTGATGATTACCTTTTCTTTCTTAGATTTATGGCACATATGTAGGTATTCTAGGGCCCAAGCCAGGCAATCTTGTATTGTTCTTTTCTTGATGAAGCTATATTGGTTTTTGTGTACAATGCTGTTATGACTCCTTGTAGACTTTGCCTTTTGGCCACAGGATCTTGGTGATGATCTTCATTGAAGAGTTCAAAAGAGAGATGAGCATGTAGTCATTTATTCTTGAAGGACCCTCAGTCTTAGATATCAAGGTAATAAATGAGTTGTTAATACTTCTTGTGCAAATGTTGTCTGAACAAAAAGCATCACACAAGTAATAGAAGTCTTGAGCAAAGGACTAGCATCTTTTTATGAACTCATTGTTAAAACCATCTGGTCCAGGGGACTTATCTGAGGGTAGCTCTACAATTATACCATCAATTTCCTCAGTGAAGTTTACTTCCAATCTTGAGAGGTCTAAGTGCTGAACTAGCAACTTTTTGAAACAAAAGGCAGGAGCTCTGCCGCTCAATTAAGACGAAAGAATGTAATAATGTACAAGAAGGTTAGCCAACCGAGTAGCCAAAATAGCACCCGAGGGGCTAACCACCCCACGCGACACGATTGAGCACAAACACGACACACTGCCATGGATCATCGTTGCCAAGCATGGAAGCAAAGCTGCCAGTAGCTTGGACTTCCCATGGCAGGCCACCCACTGGTCACCTCCCGACGGGTCCAAAGGAACGACCGCCACCGGTCATCATTGCCAAGCTCAACCATCGAAGAGCAGCTCCGACTTCCAGTCGCGAACCCATGCCTCGCATCGAGGCCGCGGCGATAATCCAGATGGGACGCCTTTAGGAAGGTAGCGACGTCGATGGCGCCACCGTCGCACGTCTAGAGTGGACCGGGTTTTCACCCTTGGATGACATGCTAGAGGGGAAACACGACGCCCCCAACAGGGAAGCGGCGCCCAATGGCGTCATCGTCGCTAAGGCTTTCGCCCAAGAACCCTCCAGCACGAACGCCGGGTCTCGAAGCCGGACCCCCTGCCAGCCTTCACCACCATCGTCGTTGTCCCACCGCCCCACGGAAGCCCCTTCAAAGGGGCATCAACGCGCTGGCTGCACGCAGCAGCCGCATAGCTACGTCGGCCATCACCCCCTCCGTCCGGGCCACGCATAGCCAGACCTGATTCCGCCGCTCGGTCCTAGTGTCGCACGACGAGGCCGCCACTGACCATCTTCGTTGGCCCTGGCACCCGCCGATGTCGCAGCCGACCTCGCCGCCAGCCGCTACAGGGCGTGTGCCCCACCATCTCGGACGCCGCCCCCTGCCCTGGGACCGCCGAATCTGGACACCAGGCCCCGAACCCGGCGCCCCATGCCGCCGCCGCCGCCTCCGTCTTGACCACAACCGCAGGCACCGCCTTGTGCCGGCCCGTCGCCCTGCCCACCGCCGAGGCCGGCAAACCGGCCACCACGGGCAGGCTAGCTAGCAGGTTGCCGCCCTGGCCATAGCCAGTCCCTGAAGAGGCCTGGCCGCCACCGCAACAGCCAGGGCCGTGAGGGGAGAGGCAGGCAGAGGAGAGAGCACTGCCCCCAGCGCCATCACAAGCGCCCGCCGTCGCCGCAACCGCCACCGGCCACCACTTCACCCGCCGCCGGCCCCGAAGCCGAACTAGCCACCTGGAGTCCAGATCCGGCCTCCCGGGCACCGGATCTGACCTCACGTAGCCCGGACCGGCGGCCCTAGCTGTCGCTGCCGTCGTCGTCAAGAGAGGAGGAGGGGAACGCGCGGAGGAGAAGGAGAGCCCGCTATCGTCCCCTGCGCCAGCTCGGGCACCAGCCGGCGCCGCCATAGCCGTGACGGCCCTCCCCGCTGAGCTCCACGCAGCTCACGTGAGGGGAGGGGCCGTCGGCCTGCTGCCGCACGCGCCGCCAAGAGAAAGGAGAAAGGCCCCGCCGCCGCCATCCCTGCCGCCCGGGCGGCTATGCCGGCGGCGGCGCGGCGGGGAGGGGAGGGGAGGGGCTGCTAAGGTTTGGGGGGAGGAGCCGCCCGAGCTGCTCACGTGGGAGCGACGCGGGGGCAGGTGTTTTTTTTTCAGATCGCTGAACTAGCAACTCATTTAGGTTAAAAAGCATGTCTTCAGATTCTGAGGAGCCTAATCTTGACTTTAAGGATTCCCAAATCATATATGCTTTTTTGTCCATGTCTTGTAAGGCCATGCCTTGATCATTGCATAAGAAGGAGATTGTGTTTCTTATGTGTCTCATTGTGGCATGGGCATGGAAGATTTTTGTCCCAGCATCTCCTTCCTTAATCCATGTAATCTTTTCTCTTTGTTTCCAATATCTTTTTTGCATTTTAAGGAGACACAGCTTGTCACACTGAGTGTTTCCAAAATTCCACTCAGGTAGACTGAGGTCTCTTAGCAGTCCTAGGGTCTCCAACAAGTAAATGACTGATTTGACTTTCTGTATTACCTGGTTCAGGGAGTAAAGGTTGGACCGCCACAACTTGATGAATTTTCTGAGATTTATGAATTTTGTTGTGATCCTTCTTGCTGGGTCTTGCTGGGTTACTGACATTGACCAAGCTTGTTGGACACGGCCTTCGAAGTTTTCATGCTCAAACCAGAAATTCTCAAATCTAAACAGCTCCCCCTTTGGAATTTTGGTCTTGATTTCTATAATGCAGGGCCAGTGATCAGAGATTTTCATGACTAGTGACTTCACCAAAGTGTTTGGGTACTTGAGTGTCCAGCTGATGATGTGAAAAATCAATCTAACCTTTCAAGGAGGGGGGAGGTTTGCTTCTTGGTGTGTACTGTCTGCAAATGAGGGGTAGTTCTACCATGCCTAAGTTACTTATAGCCTCATTAAAAAGAAACATTTCAGTGATATCGCTCCCTCTTTGTTTCTGTCCTCTGGTTTTCTAATCAAGATAAAATCACCTACAACAAGCTAGTAAACTTTTTCTGTGGCATGTGGATGTTCTGGAACCACTCTAAAAATTCTATTTTTCCTTCTGGTGTGTACGAAGCATAAATTGAAGTGAGAACCCAAGATTCACCATTGCGTTGGGAGGTGAAGTTGACAGAAATTATAAACTCATTTTGGAAGATAAGTTCTCCTTTGAAAGCTGCACTTTTTCAATCCACTAGAATTCCTGAGAAGCTCCTATTGAGGGCAGGAAGTGGAAACTGTCAAAATTGGGAGGACAGAAGTTCCTGATGTAATATTATTTGTTGTACTTCCTCTATCTCATTCTGAGATGTAACGGTAATGATATTGATATCCTCCATGGGCCTCCATAGATTACTGGAATTATATGATTTTACGCAGTTGCTATAAATCCATAAATATAACGTACTTGAGACCTTGAGCTCTTATAAATTAGACAATTCTGCTATATCAACTCAATAAATAAAATAAAGTAAATGCATGTGAATCTGGTGTCACTCAGAACTTTGGGTCTGCTGTAAGCGCGCCGGTCACTCGCCGCAACAGGCTACATGCAAGGCGTTCGGGTAATGGCACACCGCACACCTGCGTGTCAACAGCTCTGATGGCTGGAAAATCGGTTTACTGAAGCCACTAATCATTCGACTATTCAATTGACACAATCTTAAGTAAAATGATCCTATATGCAGTCAACGGAAATTGCGCAACACCAAAACCAAGCTGAGAGGTTAAAATGGAACAGTATTGATAGTTGAGATGTCAAACTTGTTTTTGTAGTTGGATTGAAGTTAGACAAACATAAAAGTTGAGGGACTAAAAATATACTGTACTTGCACAATCAATCATCGCCATGAACTTATTTGAAAAATGGTGATGCAAATTTCTCTGATTTGGACAAGTTCAGACCAGAGTAAAATTACTCTTCATCTGCAAAATGGCAACCCTACTCCACGTTTCTGTGGACCTGAACCAAAATTCTCAAACCAAAGTTCTACCCTTTCAACTGATCTCAACCGTCTAGACAGCCGCCTCAAGAATGTTAAAATTTACAAGGCAAGGCTTCCCTCTGCTGCCTCTGCCGCTTGAGGCTTCGGCTTTGGCTTCTCAACAACAATTGCCTGTGTGGTTAGGACCATTCCAGCTACTGAGGCCGCATTCTGGAGTGCACACCTAGTCACCTTAGCAGGGTCGATCACACCGGCCTCAATCAGGTTCTCGTACTTGTCTGTCATTGCATTGTAGCCCACCTCCCACACACTGTCCTTGATCTTCTCAACAACCACTTCGCCCTCTACTCCAGCATTGTGTGCGATCAATGAAGCAGGTGCTACCAGTGCCTGCACAAGTAGATAAGATAGGGTAAAAATATGATTTATAGCTCTACAGGATCCAGTATGTGTCTGCTGCGACAAGAACTAGTCTGAATTATCTAAATAAATTCCAATGCCAGCAACACACACTATGATGGTATAGATCTACTCACAAACATAGCAACGCACATCCTAGACGATAGGTCCTAGTCACGTTTTGCCAGCACACATGAACATATTAATGAGATTGGACCTCTGGCAAATACAATTCATACCATCTAACTGCATAGGCACTGATCAGTTTATAAATATGCTAGCCAAGTTACCTTTTGAATAATATCAGCACCAAGGCGCTCATCAGGGTCCTCAATTTTTTCTTTGATCGAAGGGACAATGGTAGATAGGTGCACGTATGCCGTTCCACCTCCAGGAACAATGCCCTCCTCTATAGCTGCAAAAGTGGCATTTTTTGCATCCTCAATTCTTAGCTGGCGGTCCTCAAGCTCAGTCTCAGTTGCAGCTCCAACCTTGATAACAGCAACACCACCAGCAAGCTTAGCAATTCTCTCAGCCAATTTCTCAGTATCATAAACTGAATCAGTCTCAGCAAGCTCCTTCTTTAGCTGTGCAACCCTCGCTTGGATCTCATCTTTAGTGGCTGCATCTGCTATGAGGGTTGTTGTAGTCTGATGTATCGTGACTTTCCTTGCTGTACCAAGTTGTTCCTCTGTAGCATTTTCAACCAACAAACCAAGATCTTTTGCTAGGAACTCAGCACCTGAAAGTGAAATTACATGATATAAGCGAAATGAAACTGAAATAAATGGCCAATTATTATCAAATTTCAAAACAAAGGGCCTTTATAACCAAAACGTCTAGCATAAGCAAATAATCTGAACCAACTTTGAGGAAACCATTTAGGTATTCCAGCATTCACTTGCCAGGAGTTGAAATAACGTTCAGTAATCTGAAACATCATGATTGATGCAAGTACACACATTGAACCATTGTTTCTCTTGCAGGCTGTCACTTCTATTGAAATCTTCAATATTTAGGGTTCAGGCTTCAAGTGGAGTAATGGAGCTAAGTAACAAATTTTAACAATTTGCTAGCATGACAATGAATAATTGACTATATGTAATTCTAACACTAAGAGATGGTGAGCTTAACTTCTAATTCTATCATGTTTTCGCATCAGATGCTTGTACGAAGTTTGACATTCATGATGAAGAATGTGATCCATGAAACCATGCAATCTCAATTGGCATCCATACAACTAACATAGCCCTCTGACGGTGTGGTCATTTAGCATTCTCACCCAATTTTGTTCAATATTAGGAAGAAGCTATAGCAAGCTGATGAAACTAAAGATCTATTGGATGTATTGAGAAAAAGGCAAGGCCCTTGTACAAATTATATAGAAAAATAAAATAATATCTTTATTTTTATTTGTTACAGCATTACTCAGAGAATGAAGCACGATAAGTATACTTTTAATGCATAAATATATTGCAGAAATCATACTACAATACTTTTATCAGCCAAAATAAATGCAACTGCATTAGAGAATGATGACAATATGTAATATTATGGTCGGTTGCAAGACAAACCTGTGACAATGGCAATGTCCTGAAGTACAGCCTTCCGCCGCTCACCAAAGCTTGGAGCCTTAATCGCTGCAACATTGAGAATTCCTCGAAGCTTGTTAACAACAAGAGTTGCCAAAGCTTCACCAGTAATGTCCTCAGCAATAATGAACAAAGGGGCTCTCAGCTGTGTGGTCTTCTCCAAAATCGGAAGAATTTCCTTTATGCTTGTGATCTTCTGATCAGTAATAAGAACCTTAGCATTCTCAAACTCCACAATAGATTTCTCGAGGTTTGTCACAAATTGTGGGGAAATATAACCGCGGTCAATCTGCAATATTCAAGAAAACATGAGAACATGTGATAGTATATGTAAATATGCATTGCCATTTTGATGTTATAAATCAGAAGCTTCTACTTCATACATATAGACGCAAGAACTGTACAAGCTGAGTTCCCTACAAACCTCCATTCCTTCTTCAACTTCAACGGTAGTCTCAAAAGAAGAGGAGGATTCAATTGATAGAACACCATCAGGCCCCACTTTGTCAATTGCTTCAGCAATCATGGATCCGATAAATTCATCATTGCCAGCAGAGATAGATGCAACGGCTGTAAAACAGAACAGCTCCAAATTAGACATTAATTATGTTTTGAACACACATTTTGTTACAAATTTACATTGTGAAGTGAAAATAAATAAATGATGAACAGTATAACATGAAAATAAAAGAATCACCTTTGATATCACCACCACCCTTGACTGGTCTAGCCTTATTCTCAAGCTCCTGAATTAGACCCTGCACAGTTTTGTCTATTCCCTTCTTAAGTGACACAGGATTTGCACCAGACGTTACACTTAGAAGGCCAAGCTTGATGATTTCACGAGCAAGGACGGAAGCAGTTGTAGTGCCATCACCAGCAGAATCATTGGTCTTGCTAGCAACCTTTAACAACAGAGAAGTGGAGAACACGACTTTGTTATTCAGAATCCTCAAATAACATGATGACACCACATGTTCATTAAACGAAAGAAAGAAAAGGAAAGCACCTCACGAATCAATGCTGCACCAGCATTTTCCATTGGATCATACAGCTCAATAGCCCGGGCAATAGTGACTCCATCATTCACAACTTTGGGGCTGCCATACTCATCAAGCACCACATTCCTCCCTGTGAAAACATTATATTGATGATTAATGGTGTTTTGCTTTTCAGACATGTCTTTGGAAATTTTTTTTTTTTTTTTTGGAAACGGAAGATTTTAGGAAAACTGGAAATACAGATCAGATTTACGAAATTATTAAAAATGTAAAATAAGAAGAATGGAAGAGCTAATTCAATTTCAGAGAGGAGCTCTTGATTGGAGAACTGTGTTTGTACGTGCACTGTGAATGAAAATGAAGAGAACCATCTTTTGTCTCTATTCTACAGCACAATATGTTCCTGGAACTCTTGAAACAATGTCTTTTAGCAATCAATGCACCAATCAAGTTTATCTAGACCTACTGTACTACAATAGTAGTTGCATCAGTTAGTTAAGTTGCGCCAAATCAGTGGCTTCCAATTTCTCGGGGACAGACCTGGGACGAGTTAGTGCCAGTTGTAATTCTAGAAACTAGAGAGGAAATGCAATTGATTCTTTATGAGCAGCCGTGACGAAACACAGCTGAGCATCGAACAGACAGCTTGGGCTGTAGCAGCAAGGCGGTAGGCGTTGAATACCTCGTGGCCCGAGGGTGACACCGACGGCGTTTGCGAGCTTCTCGACGCCGGCCTGCAACGCTGCCCTGGATTTTTGGTCAAAGGCGATGTCTTTGGCTTCCGCACGCACCACGAACCGCTGTGACCGGCCATACCTGGCCCTCGTCGCCCTGCCCTGCTTGCCACCAACAAGAAATAATATTACATATTGGAAAGACAGGAAGCACATAATTAATCAGGAAACCACAATTCAACGAACAAGAAAGGCCCCAAATTGGGCGAGAGACCGCAATTGGGATGGCCTTCGCCGGCCGAGGAACCGCAATGGAGGAACCAAAAAACAGTTGTCCAGGAAATCACAGAGCGGAAAAGCTAGAAAGCTGGACGACGGAGAGGAGCTGACCTGCGAGAGGGGCGAGATGAGGGAGGCGGTGGAGATGGCATTCGCGGATGCCATTGAGATAGGGAGAAGCTGAGAGCAGGTACTGTAAAGTCGAGAGGATAAGGTGCGGGGAACGACGGACGAGGCGGAGGATTTGGAGCGAGAGCGGGTTTTAGAGATGAGGTTACGCGGTTTTATACACCCGGACTGCAGGAGTGAGAGGGAGGGAGGGATTTGGAGACAGACGGGGTAAGGGGTTTCTAGAACATTCAGCATATTTTGTTCTTGTTCGGCAAATTAGAAGTTCTTTTAAATTTAAATAAATTAGTAAAAGGGCTCTTTTGTGAGAGGAGAAATGGCATAGAGAATTTTACTTTTCTTAGAAAAAGTTAGTAGAGTACCTTAACAACCAAAACCATGTGGCGGTAAAATAAAGCATAGTAGTGTCAAGTAAAACAAAACTATATTACCATCCCATAACAAAACAAAGGGGTAGAAAAAAGAAAAAAGCACCAGATCCATTAACTTTGGGGGTATACTCTCGAATATATTTTTGGGTACATAAACGTTCTTAGTTCACTGTAAGTTAATACCCCTTCGCCAAGCGATTAGATATGACATGGCAGGCATTGTCAGCGTACAGCGTGGAAGAGAGAGCATGTGAGGATCATATGTGCACCGGTGGCTAGGTAAATTTTATAGGTGACTCCCAAGTCTTCCCTCTCTATTCCATTCCACTTCAATGCCAAGGTCATTTTTCGGAGTTTGTAGAAACTACTTCCTTGTCTCTAGGGATTCCACCTCAATGATACCAATTGCAATTGTGAAGATGCATTCATTTGGATCGATGCCCACGGTTGTAAGTATCTGGCCACCAAACTTTGTCTTGATGTGGCATCTATTAAACAGATCAAAAGCCTACATGCAGCCATGAATCCCCTTTTGCAAGCATCCAAAGACATGTACAACTTGTTGAATATGTTATCATCAAGTTTAAGAAGGAAGGTACTACCATGATTGCTCCTTCTACCTCTCGGACCTGCCTTTTGGGATCCAGAATGCGGTGGCATCCTTCTAGTTGGAGCTGGAGCACCTCGTCAGCCGCGAGGCGCCATGGAGCGCCATCCTCTCTAGCGTCATGGGGGCCAATGTCCCCTCGCTACGCACCTTCCCCGAGATCTTCTCGGGGAATGGCCCGGAGTATGACTCCGACTACATCTACTGCTACGCCCCGCCGCGCATGTGCTACCACATCGACGGCGAGATTCCCACCGAGGAGGCGCATGAGCTCACGCCGCTGGACCAGAGTCCCTGCAGCCGCGTGAACTACCTTCGAGAGAAAGACGCTCGCCTGCAGGCTCTGCAAGTGGACCTAAAGGCCGTCGAGGCAGAGCTTGAGTGCCAAAGGCAGGACTTTGCGCAACAACGAGCCACACAGCCTCTCGGCAACAACAACGATGCCCGCACGGGGGCTCCTAACACCTTGCGCTTCCCCTGAGTGGGCTACAACATGGCGTCCACCGCTTGCCGGCTGGAGGACATCTCCGACACACCGGACCCGAAGACCAACGAGAGGCTGCATGAGGCGAGGTGACTTCTTCGCATCGCCCTCGAGCAGCAGGCCGAGAGCTCTGCTTCTCGGCGACGCGCTAGACCATCCCAACTGATGACTATCACAAATGGGTATCACTTCGACGTGCACGCCCTACCAATGGGCGGAAGCGGCGGCGACTCCTCCGGTAGTAGCTCCGGCCGTCCGCGGACTAGGGGTGCCAAGCCCTGTCAGGAGCAAAAGCGCAAGCTTTCCCCATGGCAGCCCCCACGCATCATCGGGTCGACGCTGGCTGTGATGTCCATGACACCATCGAGGCCAGGCACCACGCTTAGGCGCAGTTCGCACTCCAGAGCGAGAGGTAGGGGGCAGCGCCCCGTATCACTTTAGCCCCCAGGCGTTCGAGGCGGCGATCTGGGTGGCCCCCTACCCTAGGTGGTTTCGGCTGCCGACGCACATCTTCAAGTACGATGGCGAGACCAACCCAGACCATTGGCTCGAGGGTTCGTACACTCGGCCTAGGAACTCATGGGACCTCCGCAGCTATAGGTAGAGGGCCGATGAGACCCTTCGGGAGTACATCCAGCGCTTCTCCAAGTGGCATAATGAGCTCCCCAACATCACCGACGCCGACATGATCAATGCCTTCATCTGCGGCACGACCTACGAAGCGCTCATCCACACGCTCAGCCGCAAGACCTCGCGCATGATGCGGGAGCTCCTGGACATTGCCACCCAATACACCATCGAGGAGGAGGCCATCCAAGCCAACTTCAGCGGCAAGGCCAAGGCCGCCTGCCACCTCAGTGGTGGGGATGGCACCGACAACCCTGCTTCATCCCAGCATTGCCGTGATAAGAGGAATAAGGACTAGAAGCGTCGTGGGGAGGAGATTGTGGCCGTAGCCGACAGCGCCGCCAGTCCTTAGCCCCACGGGCGTGCCGCGTGCCCCGAGCACTTTGAGAAGGCACTCGAAGCCCCCTGCCCATTCCATGGGGTCGGCAAAGCACCTCCTCAAGGACTGCGCCACCATCAGGGGCTACATCTGTGGCACCCTCGGCTAGTAGGGCAAGGCGCAGAAGCCAGCCCAAAAGGCCAGCGAGCCAGCGGATGCTGCCCCGGAGGATGACGCCGAGTTCCCCAAGGCCGATTGACGAGTTCCTGACCGAAGAAGACCCCGACCGACCCCTTCAGGATCGCTCGGGGGCTATGCCCACCAGCACGCTCACGCGCATCCTCTGGCAAAGAGACCCGGCCAAGCCTGACTTGGCCACGATCGTCGCTTGGGGCTCAAGGGCTCACCCGAGCCCTAGGCACCCGATCTAGGTGCATCTAGGCCCCGCTAGTGATGCCAGCCAAGGCCTAGGCACAAGAAGACAAGATCTGGGCAACCGATGCTCGGGGGCTCCCTAACACCACTCCCTAGGCACGACCCTACCAACTGCTCCCCTGACAAGGTCATGTCCGGGGCGTGACGCAAGAAGACAAAGCTTTCCCTTGGCCTTTCGGGGGGCTCGGGGGCTTTGGGCTCGCACGTTAGCCCCTAGAGCCAACCTCCTTCGCCACCAAGAAGACTCCAGAAGGTCCACCTAGGGGAGGCCAGTCCGAGCCGTCATAGCGTGACATGGAGAGTGTCAAAACAGAACAATCGGACAATGCCCAAGGCTTCTTTGGCACCAAGGCACCTCCATGGTCCATGACCCACCGCTGGAAGACCCTCCTAGACTCTGGCGCATGTAGATCATAGACTAGTTCTCCCAAACTACCATGTACCCAACCTATCTCGTTATATAAGGGATAAGGTCAGACCTAGGAGGGGAGAGGATCCCAGATCGATCACCAGACACTCCATTCGATTCTAACTGCCTCCGCTCCGCAAGCGAACAAGGCAACCCGAAGAGGGACACCGAGAGCTCCTCCTCTGTATCCCGTCGTCTTCCTCCTCTCCGATGAGGGGGAAGGCTCCACCGGTGGTGAGGCAACCTTTGAATTAGCACCGAGCTAACCCCCTACCAAATCTCTCTCTACACTCTGTTGTAACCCCCCGATTTTGGGTGCTCTTGAGTATAAGAATCATCAGCTGCTGGACGTAGGGACCGAATTGGCCCAAACCAAGATAAACCGTTGCGTCTTCTCTGCGTGATTCTTGTGTGCCTAAGTCCACCCGAGCCACCAGAGACTCGTACTCTGACACCGACTCAAACAACAATGCTTGCCACGGTTTCAACCCCACGACAGCTGGCGTGCCAGGTAGGGGGCAGCATCAAGTGCGATTTTGTCTCTACGGTGGATGGAGCCACTTGCCTCGTCGCTGGAGCAAGTGGCACCACCCTAGACGGTGGTGTCCGCTTCCCCAGCGAGTTCTCCGTCATGACCGGTGCCTTCGCTCTGGGCTAGGTCCTCAACTTTGGGAGCCTGGCTTATGTCACCGACTACTACGGTGAGCTTCGTCCACTCCATGAGGCTGCACAGATAGGAAATGAGCCCCCGGCATTACCCCCTCCGCCAGGACTTCTGAGAGCAGATCTCGAGGTTCTGGTTCACCAGATCTGGCATGGTCTAAACCCAAACCCCAACGTGTTAGACCATCACTAGATGTTCTACATGCTGGCCAACGTTCACCACCAGATCGCCACTGGTGAGGCGCTCCTGCCACCTGACCGCTTCTAGTACTACCTCTCGGACCTGCCTTTCAGGATACAGAACGTGGCAGCATCCTTTCAACTAGAGCTAGAGCACCTCATCAGTCGCGAGGCGCCACAGAGTGTCGTCCTCTCCGGCATAGCAGGGACCGATGTCCCCTCGCTCTGCGCCTTCCTTGAGATCCTCTCGGGAACTGCCCAGAGTACTACTTTGATGACATCGACTACAACGCCCCATCGCGCATGTACTACCAAATCAAGGTGATGATCCTGCCATGGTGGCACCCGGGCTCACACCACCGGACCAGAGTCCCCGCAGCCGCGTGGCCTACCTTTAGGAGAAGGCAGACCACTTGTAAGCTCGTTAGGTGGACATGGAGGCCGCTGAGGTAGAGCTCGAGTGCCAAAGGTAGGACTTTGCACGGCAACAAGCCGCGTACCCTCTCAGCGATGACGACGATGCTCGCACAGGGGCTCCTAGCGGCCTCCACTTCCCCCACATGGCGTACAACATGGTGGCCGCTGCCTGCTGCCTGGAAGACATCTCCAACACGCCAGACCCAAAGACCAACGAGCGGCTGAACGAGGCGAAGCGGCTCCTCCGTGTCACCCTCGAGTAGCAGGCCAAGAGTTCAGCCGCCCGGCACCGCGTTGCACTCTCCCGACCATCCCAGAAGATGGCCACCGCCAACAGGGACCGCTCCGACGCTCATGCCCCACTAACGGGAGGAAGCAGTGGCGACACCTCTAGCAATAGCTTCGATCAGCCACGGACCTAGGATGCCATGCCTTGGCAGGAGCGAAGGCACGACCAGTCTCCTCAGTGCCCCTCTATGCGCCATCGAATCAGCAACGACCGTGACGTCCGTGACACCATCGAG